TCTACATATATTATAAAAATTTATATCAGATAAAATATATATTTTGAATTGATAATATGAGATTTATTTAGATATGATACATACATAAAAATTTTAAAATTAAAAAATTAGTTACAACTTATTATTTAATAAAATTATACCTATCATACTCCAATTTCTTTTTTTTTTGGATAAAATATATAAAAATTACATAAAAGTAATGGAAAAAAAAAAAAGGAAAAAGGAGATAAAAAGTAAAATGTTAATTGGATCTTGTTGAAAACTTGGGCTATTTTAGGAAGCCCAAGTTTTATTATCTTATTACATAAAAGGGCCTCCAAGTACGTAGCCTAGACAAAGGAAGCCTAGATGGCTTGGCCTGCATAAATGAATCTCAAAAGCCCATTAGCTAAGAGCAATAAACGACACCGTTTAAGTAGAGGAAACGGAGGTCATACACCGGGCACCACCGCTCTCAAGAAGCAAAAGGAACTGCCATAAATTCACCAAGTAGATGATTTGTTGTAATTACAAAATTCACGTACTATGATCACTTTTAGCGACTCATAAACTGGGTGATACATCGCAATAAGAAATCCTAATTGCTGTAGATTAGGGTTTTTAATTTCTAACTATTTAGATAATTTTATTTCATATTATTTCGTGTTATTTACTTTTATGTTATAGTTTGTTATGTTTTTTTTATATTGTATTGTATTATGTCGTTCGTATAACATTATTATTTTTTATATTATATTTTATTATGTATCGTATTATTTTATATTATTTTTTTTATAATACGACATGTTTTATCGTATTATATTTTTTTTATGCAACATGCTAATTATGATGTGTTATTTTACATAGTTTGTCTCATATCATAACATTTAATGTATTTTCATCTTCTGTTGTTTTATTATTTTTTTCAGTGTCAGTATTATTTCATATTATATCAATCCATTCTATTTAGTGTTATCGCATTCAGTTTGATTTTACTTTGTATCAAAACATTATATTTCATCACCCTTCTTGCCACTTCATTATGCACCACTATGTTTATAAAATATCATTTCTTGTATTCTGATGCAGTCTTATCACATTGGTTCATTTCGTATTGTTCAACTTTATTCACTTGTTCCATCTCCTTTCCGTTTCATTACTACTGTGTACAATTTCATTTTGAATGGTCTTCTTACTCTAATATAAAACAAATGTAAATACTACATTTATAATTCTTCATATGCACAAAAAGATATAAAGTAAAATAACTAATACAAATTTACAAAGCAAAATCTCTGTACAATACATGAAACTTGAAGCGGGTACAACAACAAATGAGATTTGATCAAGGGCAATCTCAGAAAACATACTTACAACAAAAAGGGGAAAGAGGAAGGCTGGGAAAACTGGAGAAAAGACCTTCCCCTCCTTGAACTACTTGAGATCTAGCACCAGTTCCCTGTCAGGTAAGGGATAACTAAATTGGTATGTATGTACGATAGAGACTCACATTAAACATACTTATCTTTGCTATGTGGATACATTCCAGAA